AATGTAGTATGTAATTATCTGCGATTTTGCTTCTAAATAAACCAGAGAAAGTATTAAAGGTAGAGCATTGTGGGAAATGTAGTTTAGAAACACTTGGGTTTCCAAGGCTCGCTAGATATAAATATTATAGTGCGGAGTTGAAATCCACAATAAGATGCAACATTATGATGACAAACATTAGACTTGGAGTAACAAAACAAGGCTGGATTATATTAATTCATATCTTCCAAACAAGTGGTAACCTGCCCATTTTTTGTTAATTTTTCCACTCGTAACATTTTATAGTTTTTTACTTTATTTTTATATGTTGTGAAAGTGAAATTCTCATGCCAGGTTCTTCTAAGTGGATAACAACTCCTAAACAAAGGACTAAATGATAAATAGTTTTAGAAGCTGTTAGTAATGTGCCAGGGCTGTAATTATTGGACGTCTGGGGAAATTACATAATTGTTACAATATAATTGCTCTTGCCGTTCTCTAACTCTATTAGGGGAATTTTTCTCCCTAAAACTGGGGACGTGCTGATTGCATTGCCAACACACAGCGTCAGAATGGAGCACCATGAATCACATACCAGAAAAAAAATTCTATGAAATAACATCACACAAGACTAGAACATATATATATATTTTATTTTATTTATTTTATTAATTCTTTTTGTCAGTGTTTTGTGAATTTTTGTAGGTATTATCTTTCACTTGATTTTCACTCAAAGTGTCTGTTTTTGAATATTTACAGGGCTCAGTGAATTTTAAGTTTGGAGTTCTTTATGCCAAAGATGGCCAGCTTACCGATGATGAAATGTTTAGTAACGGTAAGTGCCAGCGACAACTATTGGGGGGGAACATATTGGTCTTGTGATAATTTGTCACCTTGTACGGTGGTGGAATCTCTACTGTCGGACAAATACCTGCTGAACGCCATTGACTTATTCCACTCTAAGGTAGACAAGCTGTGATTTCCTCTGCTTAGAGAATCCTGCCCCTAGTGTTTAGTGAAGAATTACATTTTTTACTTTCACAAAAATTGTTAGCATGCCATATTGATTTAAAAAGACTGGATCATGTATGTGCTCTTTCAGTGGCATAACTGTGCTGAGTGTTAAGTCCGTAATATAGGACGATGTTGCTAATTAAGTTTAATTAGTGGGGTAATAGCTTCTTGATTCAAGGATAAATCTGACTGCAATTTTTGAGGTCTAGAAGGAATATTTTCCTAGTTTGTTGCAAAATTGGAAGCGCTTCAGACTGGGGTTACTGCCTTCTTTTAGATCAACAGCAAAAACATATATGAGAAAGGCTGAACTTGATGGACGCATGTCTCTTTTCAGCCTATGTAACTACAGGTATGTATGTAAGTGGAGTGATCTCTGTTCATTCCTGCATGTATTATAAATGATTACCACATTCCATTCGTGACTCCTCCCCACTGACAACTTTGCACCATTTTTTAGCACTTGTGATAAATTTACCCGTATGTATCATTCCAAAGTGTTGCCATTGCTTTGGGTCAGGATTGGGACGTTTGCCAATTAAAGCCTTAGGGCATCGCTATGTCCCATACATTAGCTGGCCTGCCCAGCTGGTAGAGCACAGCTAATAATGCTATTGAAATCAAATTTGCATTTAAACATATGCCATCAAGGCAGACGTTTAAAAGTAAATTTTTTTAATGTAAGAATGTGCCCCTCTGTGCCAAGTTCCAAACGCAGGGAAGCACATTATTAGTTTAGTGAAGTGATCGGCTGTCTTTGGCAAGGTTGTTTTAGTGTGTTGGTTTGTAGATCATCAATGTCTCAGAAGTAGACTGGTTAATAAAATCAACACTCGTGTCTTCTAAAGTATCCGCCTAAAGAATGCATGAGTCCCTTTAAATTGGCCTTGCATACGTATTGAGATGAGAAATGCTGTTTAGACAGCTCATGCAGCCGACTGTGACTCACTGAGCTGCCATTGTGTAACCTAAGGATCCCAAATGTATGTTAACGTGCCCTGAATGTAGGAAAGAATGGTCCAAGAACTTAAATATGCATCAAATATCTACCTGCCCGGTTCTTAAAAATCTACAAATCAATCAACGGCTTTCTTTGTCAGATATAAATAGCACTGTGATTCGGTGAGGATGTTCTAGAAAAATTCTGCAAATGCATGTGTCTGCCAAGAAAGCAAGCTATAGAATCGCCTACTCCCCTCAGCTCGGACAATTAAACCTGTGAATTATTTACATTGCAAGTTGTCTTATTTACAGAATTTTAACCTGCAATCTTTGCTTTCACTTATGGAGATATATGACCATAGTATGGGGTGGTTTTATATTTCTGCCTGCAACATCTATGTTTAAGAAACATTGGATTATTATTATTATTATTATTATTATTATAATTATGAAACTAGGAAATCTTGTGCACAGGAAAAAGGAACCAAGATAGCTGAACTGGAAGAGCTCTCTAGTTTGGCTATTTCCCCTGTCTGGCCCAAAAATAAAAACCGCTTAGTAGATATGCCCCCAATGACAACACGCATGCATTTAATTATGCATTTTATTCATTGGGGGTATATAAAAAAACAGATTTTATTTTGGCTTCTCTGGCCTTACATTTAAAATTTACTTGGAATTTTTGCTTTAGTAAATTACCCTGTAAGCATGTGAACACTTCATACTTAAACATTTTTCACTAAAAAATCCTGTTCGTTTTGTCAAATTTAAATGTATTTTTTTTTGTCCGGCATGTCACCAGTTTACAATATTGTGATTTTGAATGACGTTCATAAAAATGCACTTAGAAAAATAAAATCTTGTTTGTCTTCTAAGTAGCTCATATTAGCAGTATTAACAGAAACTGCAATATTAATAAAAATATTATTTTTAGTAACAACTTCCCAGGAGATCTATATAAATTCACCCTTGCTCCTCAGAAACCCTAAATAATATTATAGTGTCATAGATTTTGTTTCTGTCTACCACAGCCAATTACTTTAGAGGTGCAGTCGATATACATAGGATAGATGGGACAAAACATCCAACCATGGTTCTACTACATGGATGTGATACATCTAAATAAAATGTAACAACGGTCAATGTGGGATGAGGCCATTTTTTTAAATTCCTTTTATGGCACTTAACCTCTGCATTTGCCTTCCTTTGTGTCTGTAGAAGCTGGGAGTGAAAGTTTTCAGAAATTGCTAAGCTTACTCGGAGACACTATCACGTTGAAGAGCTGGATAGGCTATCGAGGAGGACTAGACACCAAAAGTAAGAAACCTTTCTTTACAGCTTCATGCTTGGAATTCACAAAATTAGCACAGACTTCATATTTACGCTAAACTTCATGAATGGGGGATATGCAAAAACAAATCTGCAAAACGCATTAGCAAAAAACAAAACAAAAACCAAAACAAAAGGGGGGAGTAGAGTAGAGGTCTCATTTCTGGCACAACCCCAATACTTGCTATAGGTACTGCAGTGGTTTTGTGCAGTTGATAAGTAGGACACCGTAACCCAGCATTCCACTGACTGTACTGTTCTTTTTTGCCTATTTCGTTCTACTTGCTCTATTACCCACAGATGACCCTGGTGTATGAAGCAAGTTTCCTCTGCTTTTGTTCTGTAATTTAGCACTGTACAATGCCTAAGTAAGAGGGGTGTATGGTGTTTACGGCACAGATCTGCCCCCATGTCAGTCCACCGGGGAGACATGGGGCTACAAGCTGTGCAGAATTCATGAGGTTGAGTTGACAAATCCCCTCCAGCAGTTGCTCACTGAAAAATACCAAGTGCAACTAGATCTTTGATCCTTCCCTTTAATCTCATGGTGAACCATTCATAATCATTGCTTTGTCATAGGAGGTCATGTAAGAACATCTCCTTTTATAAATTAAATACCAATTCACAATATAAACATATAAGTCTCGGGTGTCGCGATGATATCCAATAGCTAACACTCTCATCTTTCGAACCATTAAATTGTCCTTGCCGTGAGCAGAGTAACAATCTCACACGTACTGTACCGTACACGCCTTGTCAGCATGAATAAAATATGGCTTACTCCTGTTTACTGCTTTAATTTGCAGATGACACAACAGGAATACATTCTGTCTACACTGTTTATCAAGGCCACGAGATCATGTTCCACGTTTCGACTATGTTACCATACTCTAAAGAAAACAAACAACAGGTAAGTTACGACCCATGCGTCTCTGGCAGCAATATGATATTCTTACTAAAGTGTTACATTTTAATTAGCAAACGTAAGAATGACAAGATCTATACATGATTGGCATTAAGAGAAACAGTAGGGTGAAAATTATTTTCCATTTCACTAATGCTTAAAGGACCACTATAGTGCCCTGAGGGTGCCCCCACCCTCAGGGTCCCACTCCCGCCGAGCTGGATGGAGAGGAAGGGGTTAAACTTACCTCTTTCTCCAGCGCTGGGCGGGGAGCTCTACTCCTCCTCTCCGCCTCCGATCCTCCTCTTCGGCTGAATGCGCATGCGTGGTAGGAGCTGCGCGCGCATTCAGCCAGTCTCATAGGAAAGCATTCATAATGCTTTCCTATGGACGCTGGCGTCTTCTCACTGTGATTTTCACAGTGAGAAGCACGCAAACGCCTCTAGCGGCTGTCATTGAGACAGCCACTAGAGGATTTGGAGGCTGGATTAACCCATTTATAAACATAGCAGTTTCTCTGAAACTGCTATGTTTATAAAAAAAAGGGTTAATCCTAGAGGGACCTGGCACCCAGACCACTTCATTAAGCTGAAGTGGTCTGGGTGCCTAGAGTGGTCCTTTAACATAGACAATGTGTAAAAAACAAAATAAAAAATGTTAAGTTAAAAAAAAATGCTTATGTGTTAAGATCCTGAAACTTTACAGGTTAGGTAAACTTACTGCGGTTTCAGGCAGTCTACACCTCTTGACAAACCAGGAAGAGGCTCAACCAATCAGGAGTCTACCATTCTGGTCTATGGGATGTGATTTTATTGCATACATTTATGTCCAGCAGATTTTATTGGATAGGTAGTTTATTTCACAGCAGTTCCAATCATCACATTGCAAACTCTAATCCCACGTAATCTTCCTGGGGACTTTGCAAACACCTCTAAATGGCGACTCTAACATCCACGCAGTCATAAAGACAAAGTTAAAAAGCAACAAGTGTGCCTTTTGCTCTAAACTTTAAAAGCGGGCTGATAAACTGTTATGATTGACTGACAATTCCTTCACCTTCTACCAGGAGATTTTGCCACAAGCTGTTTGTCTGTAAAAGCACAATGGCCATCCCCCAGGAATTATCGAGAAAACGCACGCAAAGCATTCTGTTACATGGAATTTAGAATCTAGCCATATTTGTAACATTCCAAAGCATAAATCTTTTATATTCCTACCTCTGTTCCAAGTGCTCATTTCTCTCATTCTCCACATTTTCGTTTCTGATCATTATGTCCCGCTGTTACCGTGATATAAATACGATGATTGTTTTAGTTTTTATCTGATTTAACCATCTTTCAGACTAGGACAATCATTCATTTACAAGTGAATTCATGGTAAACTTCAAATTTAAGGCCAGAGTAGTTGGAGCTAAATGCACAACTGACTAAGAGTATTTTTCCAGATCGGCTATTTATATTTTAAATCCACCTTTAATTTACTATAAATTCTCTTTGTAGTGAATAACTCTGTAACTTATTCATGTTCCGATTTGTATATTATTTTATACGAGCAAATCACATAAATTGGGCTGACTTTTCTCTCTAAAGTACAGCTAGGATTCATCTTCTCTTCAGTAGGCTCCTGGATTAAATATATAAATTATTATTATTATTATTATTATTATTATTTATAAAGCACTAACATATTCTACAGTGCTGTATAACACGCAAACAAATATTGAATTTAAAAAAAAAACACTAAAAAAAAGGAATTGAATTTCTAAATTAAGATACCTATAAATTTGCCTGCAACATGTACACATAAATTGTGTGCTTAACACTTTAAAGGGGAACTTTTATAAAAATAAGCTTTTAAATGAAGGCTACTTTGCAAAGGTAAATGACCATAGCTCTTTAGATTAAAATATGTTTGATGTTTTTATGTCCCCCTCCAGACTCTGTATTGTCAGTAAATGAACATCCGTACCTCCGCTAAGCAGTGCATTCCAGGCTGCTGACACTTATCCAAACAGTTAGTTAGATAGACTGACTGCTGCCTGTAGAATACTAATCGAACACTGCTGGTCACACAGTCCGACATTTAACGAAAATGCCCAATATCTTTAACACTAAAGGCATATGGGCATTATAGCTTAACTGCTGTCTACAGAATACTATGAAAAATATGTAATAGACGTTTGTAAACTTACTATAAACGTGGTCAGTTTGCATTGTTGGGCACACCTCTTCAGCCTCCTTCTCTTTTTCCATCTTACCCAAGCCATCTCAGTTTCAGGCCAGTCCACTAATGACAGAAACGGTGCTTTATTGTGCCGCAGCAGGAGAGAGAAACCCAACACTGGAGCCTGCTCTGCATGATCACACTGATCTAAATCCCTCTCTTCTCTCTCTGTCAGTAGTTTGCAAGGTGAACGGATCTTCCAACAACACATGTGTAAATCTATCAGGCACGAACAATGCACTTTTACAGCATCCTTAGGGATAGGACACTGATTGGTTAGATCAATGTCCCCCATGGAGTGGGTGTGGAAAGCATAAGATAGAAGAAATAGGGAAACATGGAAAAAACATAATGATCTGCTTTTTTAGCCTGCAATTTGAATGAGACAGTTGTCTCAAAGTGGTGCTTGTTCCTTTAAGTGTCAACTCCCTTTTACAATGTGCCAAAAATTATTTGTCACAATTCTGTGCAATCTGAAGTGTATTGGAATGGAGCAATCAATGCACATTCCAAAAATAAGACAAAGTATACAAATGTTTATATGTGTAGCTTTAAATAATGTACAATAAAAATAAGTTTATATTTTCCATTACGTCTAGGCTCACGTTATTATGATTAAATCCACGTGTGACAAAGTATATTAACATTTAAAGAAAACCCTCAAACCTGTAACCATAGGGTGGAATTAACAGACTCGGTTTGCAAATCTCTCGGAAATTCTGTTTGTTGTTCCAGCCTTTCTCCCTCAAGGGTAAAAGTCCTGAGAGGGACAGAGAATCAAGCTTATTAGAACAGACTGCAATATTTCTCTTGGTATTATAGATACATTAGTGTCCTGGCTCTCATATCAAATTTAGAGATATCCGGTATCAAATGAAATTAAGTTTTCATCTAAAGTCTGGAACCTACAGCACATCTTCCACTGCAACAAGAAAGGCTGGTATTTGTTTTGAGATCCAATTAATCAATAAAAACAAATGTGATTCCTTTGAATGTCATTTGATAAGCTGTGTGTACTTAGATTAAATTGGATGCTTTTGTCTGGATGCCCTTCTTAATAAAATGTAATCATTCTTGCAAGAAAACATTGCAATAGACAGACTGGGCTTATTAGCTTTCTACCAGCTCTTAACGGAATATTAATGCAGTAATTCGGAAAGCTTCCCAGCACCAGGGGTGGACTAAGGTGGGCCAGTGGAGTATGCCCCATGCACGTTACTGATTCTAAGGTTTTGGGTCACAAGCAATTTTTTGTTGGTTTGTATTGTTTATGGAATTTTGAGATCACAGTAATTGTGACTAGTCAGAACTAAAGCGTCAATTTATTTTGCATAACACAAAGTGAACTAGATTGCATTGAGCAAAATGGCGCATACGCTTTATAATGACGTTTGACGTCATCTCAATGTGAACGCATGGCAAGCCTTAACAGCAGAGTGATCTTAGGTCAGGTAAGTGCTGCGTCTGACTGAGGAATCCTTAAAACGAGAAAATCTGGCTGTAGGAACTTGAAGATAATATATACATGATTAAATAAATACACAGAAATCTACATAGGATAAACTATTATTAGAGAACATATCACAAACTTAAGTTACATATTTAGACATCATGTTTAAAAAAAAGAATAAT